ATCTTTTGAGGGCCAAACTAGCCTCCTTATATACCTTTTACTAGAGTAATGTTACTCTAGTAACTTTAGTAACTCCCTTTACTATTGTTCCTATAAAGTAGAGCTGGCTAATCCTTTAGACTGTATACTATACTAGTTTGTGTCTTCTATTAATCTACTAACAATAGTTTGTGTCTTCTTGTATTCTAGATTAATCTTCTAATAACTCCTTTACTGTATTATTATGTCTTCTATACTTCCTCTCATACTTCTAATGACTCCTTATGAGTCCTCCTGACTAGTTATACTGTGTAAGCTGTGTAATACTTTTCTTATAAAGTAGAGCTCTCTATTGTTCTGTAGTCTTCTTATGACTCTGTCTAACTCAACCTGTACTTCCTGTACACTAGTTTGTAATACACTTTCTTATAAGGTAGAGTATTATAACTTCTAATAACTCCTTATGACTCTTGTAATATAAAAGGCTGTACTTCTGTACTGCCTCTAGAACTTACAACCAAAGTTCTAGACTATCTTGTGTACACTCTAGAACTGACAACTAATGTTCTAAATCTTTTCCTAAGTCTTCTTTAATAGACTTAGTTTAGGAGACAATTATCCTTATTAACTTCTAACATTATCTTTGTGCTTCTGTATTCAATCATAGAACTTACAACCAAAGTTCTAGATTGTCTCATGTATTCCTTATGTTGTCCTTATATAGTCCTCATGTTTAAAACTTCATTACTTTCCTATCTGTATAGACAAAGTGTATAAAGGAGACTATTTTCCTATAGTCTCTCCTTAGAGCTCTCAGTTCCCTTTCCTTTACTAGTACTAGTCCTCCTTAAGTATAAAGCTTTAGAGTATTAGCTCTGACTCTTTACTAGCTTTAATAGTCCTTTGTCTTTGTACAAAGAGTTCCTAACTAACTATGTAGTTTCTCCTTAAGTAAGTATAATATTTTCCTTTTATTTCTTCAGGTTTTCTCCTAGTCTTTTCCTTTATACTTCTTACTCTAGACACTATACTCTTTCCAGATCCTCTCTCTATATAAGCATTCTAAATGACTTGTCTTTGGTTGAGGTTATTAAGTAATACTGTACTAGAGTATGTATTTAACCTTAGAGAGATAAAGACCTTGTCTTTAGGTTTTGTTACCTTTTCCTAACTGACTTAGTACCTACTCCTTCCTGTCCCCTCTCTCTACTAATGGATTGATCACCCATTAGTAATGATTAAAGGTTAATAATGCTGAGCTAGAGTTCTTACTAAGTAGAACAACAAAGGTAGTCTAGTTAATCTGGCTAATCTCTAGACTTGTAACTAATAAGGTTTTGTATATAAACTACTTGGTCCCAAGTCTTGAGTTAAGCTTTTCCAAACTTAGTTACTGTATTTTACAATTCCTAACATCTAGTCCCTTCTAAGTAATACTTTCTTAAACAGTATTACTACTATTGTAAAATACTTGCTTTATAATTAATAGAGCTGGGATTTAATTTTTGGGTAGGATTTGTGTCCTTCCTCCCTTTCTGTTTCCTTTGTTTTGTGTGTCCTATACTAGTATCTTTTCCTTTAGATACTTTTTCTTTATAGTCTGCCTCTTTTGTATTCTGTATTAATGTGAATATAAATGCTTTTTCCTTTCATTTTGGCTAATTTTTATAGCCTACTTTCATGGCTGAAAAGTGAGAGCTACACTTGTGAGTATAGTTTTCCTTTTAACAGTTGTAACTAGTTAACTTATTAAAAGGGCTTCTACCTTTACCTTAGTTACTATAATTCTGCTTTTAGTGTTAGTCTACAATATAGACTAATGTGTCCTCTGCCTCCTAGTTCTTTACTAGCTAGCTTCTAGTTTGACCAGTATTCAGACTCTCTGACTAAAATAGTACACTCTAAAGACCAAATTTAGCTAGTAGGAAGTCATTCCCTCTTGTTTGTAGTTTCCAGTTTAGTTACCCCCTTTAGTTTACTTCTATTTAGAAGGTGTGTATAGAGCACCTTATTATATGTCCTTATGAGTGTAGAGAAGACATATAATATACTGATACTCTTTTTATCCTTGTATTAGGAGTAATTTTCTGATTTACTCAAATCATGTTGTTATAACAATCTAGTACTTCAGATTTGTTATAAGAATAGTTTAATGTCTTGTTCAGGACATTACTTACTCAGTTAAGAGCTACTATACTATAACAATCTCTTTTCCCTTAGATTTATTATAGGAACAGTTTAATGTCTTATTTAGGACCTATATACTATAATATTCTTATACTTTAGAATTCTTGTAGGAACAGTTTAGAGTCCTATTCAGGACTATACTTACTCAATTAAGAGTTACTATACTACAATTTTCTCTATTGTAGGAATAGTTTAATGTCTTATTCAGGACTATTTTCTATTATACCTTTTTACTCTGAAGATTCTGATATATTGTGTATACACACTGTTTGTTATTAGAGTATTCAGAGTTTTACATACTTTATATAGAGAACAGAAGGGTAATAGGACAGTTCATCTTTGAGGAACTTCTATACTAATACAGAACATGTTCTAAGCTTGTAACAGACAACAGAACACTTTACATTATAGTGTTAGACTATTTGTAAGAACAATACTATATTAATCATATTCATATTTCTGTGTATAACTCCTGTACAAACAGAATTATTAAGTAGAAACACTTGAATATATAGGAAGTAATTGTAAAGACAGTAGGAGACAATATTAGACATTAGTATAAGTACACACATTCTGTGTTCTAGGTAGAGCAGATTATAATTTAGAAAGTAACTAGATATTCTCCTTATTACCTTGTTTATAAAGTAGAGCTAATATTACTGTTTGACCTGAATAAGGTAATGTATTTGGTTCCACCTAAAGGATTACTACTAACAATAGAGGAACTGATAGTAATACAAGTACAACAATTGTAGAAGAGACTAGACAACCTTACACAAATAATAGAATGTGTTTAGAAAGCTTACAAAAGATATGTAAAGCATTTTACAGAAGTCAATTATAATTAGATTAAGGACTACAACTTTGTCCTAGGTACACTAGTACTAATCTACAATTTGAAAGTGAGTAACAACTTAGGACAAAAGATGAAACTGTAATACTTTAGACTGTTTATAGTAGTATAAAGAATAAAAGGAAACACATATGTTGTAGCAGAATTGGACAGAGTAGTAGCTAAGTTATGTATTATAGTATTTTGCTTAATTCTGTATTTTCTGTATTTACATTTAACAGTTCCTATCTTATGTCTTATTAAGGCTACAGAACTAATGCTAGAAAATATAGAACTGTACAGAGTTAGTTGTAAGAATATAGATGATCTAGACAACTGTACTTTAGATACTATACTTAAAGTAGAACCAAGTATAGAAGTTACAAACTCCTAATTTGAGAGTATATAATTTTTCAATATACTCTTCTAGTCTTATACAGGAAACTAAAACATAAGGATTAATTCCCTACTAGTAACACTTAACTGTTGTGTAAATTCTGTAAATACTGTGTTTAACTACAGTTCTGTATACTTTGTTACATTTTATATTTATATACTTCTAATCTTCTATTATATTCCTTCTCATTTATAATAAATTGTAAAATCCTATACAATATTCTATAACTATATAAACCTTTATACAAATTATAATTTCTTTCTACTATTTCCTATTCTATTCTACTAGTTTTATACTTAAATTATAAAATATTCATTTATCTATTCTATTCCTCTTACCTCTCTATTTTATTTATTTTCCTATCTATTCTATTTATTTTCTGTTCTATTCTGTTTATTCCTTACATTTCCATTTTTCTATTTATAAAAACACAACTAAAATTTTCTATTTTACTACTTTTACCCTATTCTATTCTCTACTCTAACTCTTCTATCCTACTATTTATAAAGGCTTCTACTATTATAGTTAAGAAGTTAATACTCTGTCTTAAAGTTATAATCTTTGTATTAAACTTATTCTTTATTATTATTAGTTATAACTCTAGATTGTTTAGCTTTTTAGTTATTTGTAAGTAAATGTTATAAACTGTTCTAACTTTACTATGTGTAATTAGAGGGATAATAGAATGTAAGCTTTAAGTTATATTATATAATTCTGTAGTTTACTCTCTAGTCTTATACTAGATTCTCTTTAGACTATATTTAAAGTAGTAAAATATACATACTATATACTAGTTTTTTATACAAGTAATTACTATTAATATAGTTAAAAATAAGATTTAAACAGACTTACTTAAGTTACTATAGTATAGTTAATTTATTATAGTCTAATAAGTAGATCTTTAAAAACTCTTATATCTCTCTATACACTTTATACACTCAGGTATATAAAAGACTATTCTCTCTACTTAATTTAAAAGAATATTCTTATCCTTCTTACTTAAAGACTCTATTATAACTTTCTAGTTTTTTATATATGTTTTTTTATTAAAGACTAGAATCTTTATCTTTATAATAGTGTACTTCTTACTTAAGAGTACTAGTACTAGCTCTAAATAACAAAACAGAGTTAGTATACTTAGAAAATTAAATACCTTTTATTTATATTATCTTTTCTCTTATTTTTATTCTCTTTCTTCTTTTTTAACTTTATAACTATTTAAGAAACTAGAAGAAACATTATTTTAACTAATATAATTTGTTAACTATACTTTATACTTACTAATTATAACTTGTTTCTCCTTCTCTTCCTTTCTTATATTAACTCTCTCTTTCTTTATAATTAACTTTTTCTTTTTTAGTCTTATAATTTTTTTAGAAACTAAGTAAAAATAATATTAATAATATATAATTTATTAACTATACTTTTAATTTATATTTAGCTTGTTCTCTTTATCTATTATTACTTTTGTCTTTTCTGTATTTATAATAATATTTATAAACAGTTAATTTATTATATATAATTTGTTAGTTATACTTATATATATACTTTTAAACTCTTTCTTTTTCTTCTTATTCTTTTATTTTATTACTAACTATACTAAAACTATAACCTTCTCTTTCTCCTTCTTCTTCTCTTTCTCCTTCTCTTTCTTTTTCTCCTTTTTCTTCTTCTTCTCTTTCTTTTTTTCTTCTCTTTCTCTTTCTTTTTCTTTTTCTTCTTCTCTTTCTCTTTTTCCTTCTTCTTCTCCTTCTCTTTCTCCTTCTCCTTCTCCTTCTCCTTCTCCTTCTCCTTCTCCTTCTCCTTCTCCTTCTCCTTCTCCTTCTCCTTCTCCTTCTCCTTCTCCTTCTCCTTCTCCTTCTCCTTCTCCTTCTCCTTCTCCTTCTTCTTCTCCTTCTTCTTCTCCTTCTTCTTCTCCTTCTCTTTCTCTTTCTTTTTCTCTTTCTCCTTCTTTTTCTCTTTCTTTTTCTTTTTCTTCTTCTCTTTCTTTTTCTTTTTCTTCTTCTCCTTCTCCTTCTCCTTCTCTTTCTCTCTTTTCTTCTCCTTCTTTACTTTAACTTAAGTCTCTTTCTTAACTTTAGTTTGTATTACTTTCTTAGTCTTTATTTTTACTTTTACTCTAATAGTAACTTTATTCTTCTTTACTTTTATAAGCTTCTTTATTATAGTTTTAATATTTATAAAATATTTTATATTAGTAAACAAATTAGAAAATAAGAAATAAGAGACTTACTATTAGATTAACTCTCTACTAATATAAATAATACTTTCTTACTCTTTAAATTATTATTATTATAAGTATTATTATTTAAGTTCTCTTTATTTTTAAACTCAGAATTTATAATTACTACTACTTGTATAATTCCTTAGAATAGTAAGATTATATAATTTTTTTATTATAAAGTTGAAAAACACAAAGAAAATATAATATCTTACTTAATTCTTAACATAAATGTGTACTATTAGTACTTAAATTCATACTTTTAAAATCCCCTTCAGATAAATACTTTATTAATCAAATTTGAGTAAGAATTGACTAAAATATAATGAAAATACATAGTTTTTCATGTATTTCTAGTGTCTGATTTTTCCTTACCTTAAAACTAGACATATAGGCTTAGAAAACTGCTTACTATAGTTAGATATATTAATACTTAATTTAAATACTAAATATGTTGTAAATTATGTACTTATTCTACTTTACTAAGAGAGGGTTAAAATGTGTAAAACTAACTATTTCTCTCTAGCTCCCTCTACACTCAATAAATTATTTTCAACCTTAAAATGTATTCCTAAATTAAATAGAAGTATAATAAAGTGTATTATAGAAAGTTTCATGTTTATGTATTGAGAATTGAGTTTAGTATAAATGGAAGAACAAAAGTACTTATAACAAAAGTACCTTCTCTGTTCTGAGCTCAATTCTTAACACATAAACATGAAACTTTCTATAATACACTTTATTATACTTATATTTAATTTAGGAATACATTTTGAGGTTGAAAATAATTTATTGAGTGTAGAGGGAGCTAGAGAGAAATAGTTAGTTTTACACATTTTAACCCTCTCTTAGTAAAGCAGAATAAGTACATAATTTACAACATATTTAGTATTTAAATTAAGTATTAATATATCCAACTATAGTAAGCAGTTTTCCAAGCCTATATGTCTGGTTTTGAGGTAAGGAAAAATCAGACACTAGAAATACATGAAAAACTATGTATTTTCATCATATCTTAGTCAATTCTTACTCAAATTTGATTAATAAAGTATCTATCTGAAGAGGATTTTAAAAGTATGAATTTAGGTACTAATAGTACACATTTATGTTAAGGATTGAGTAAGATATTATATTTTCTTTGTGTTTTTCAACTTTGTAATAAAAAAATCATGTAATCTTACCATTCTAAGGAATTATGTAAGCAACAGTAATTTATTAGTTTCCTTCTTTATAATCTTATTCTCTTAGTTTATTTTTATATTAGAACTTATATAGTATATTAGTATATAAGTT